TTACTTTGCTAAAAAGTTGGGAAAACTGTGCTGACAGTCTGAGAACCATATCAGATGTCTTTTTTTTTAACAGGGCCTTGTGACTTTCCCCTCTTTTCTTTCCCCCATCAGAATTCCTTGGGGAAAACCTCAACAGATGCTAGATGGTATACCCTCCTTTAATATGTACTGTATATGTAGATAAAAGTAAAGGTTTTCCCTTGACAGTTTGAAATTGCATTAAATGGTTAGTGTAAGGGAAAGGAAAAGGTTTCCCCTGACATTAAGTCCAGTTGTGTTCAACTCTAGGGGTTGGTGCTCATCTCCACTTCTAAGCGGAAGAGCCGGCGTTGTCTGTAGACACCTCCAAGGTCATGTGGCCGGCATGACTGCATGGAGCACCATTAGCTTCCCGCTGGAGCTGTTACCTATTGATCTACTCACATTTGCATGTTTTCAAAATTCTAGGTTGGCAGAAGCTGGGGCTAACAGCGGGAGCTCACCCCACTCCCTGAATTTGTACCACTGACTTTTCGGTCAACAAGTTTAGCAGCTCAGCAGTTTAACCCACTGCACCACCGAGGGCTCCATAATGTATATGTAACTGCAGGTATTCCAAAATCCTGAAATCCAAAAAACAATCTGGTTTCAAGCATTTTGGATAAGGCAAATCAAAGTACTCTAATTGTGTAAGAGGTAACTTGCTTCTCGAAGGATAGCATTGGCAAGGCATGTACCACTCATCTGTCGCAATTTCTATTCGTTTATTTCATTTAAGAAAGTATGCTCAATTACTTGCCAAAGAATAATTTAGAGGAGCCCTGTCAGAATATCGACAAGTACTAGATTCTTTCAGAAAACCAGCATCTGGATCAGACATACTTCAAAGCAGATTGCTACATGGAGCTTTTTTTCTTTGAAGTATAGCTATAAGCAGACAAATTTAGGAACCCAAATCAGTTTCTGACTCTGCTGTGCTTGGAAAAATCCCAGTCAGATCTCTCTCTCTCTTTTGCTCACTCACTTGCTCTTGCTCTCACTCTCTCATTCTTTTAAAAAAGCTCATTTTAGAAAATTGGTGTCTAGATCAGCTATACTTCAAAGCAGAATGTCTCATACCGTTTTTCCTTCCTTTGAAGTATGGCTAATTCAGATGCTGGCTTTCTTTAAAAAGGAAAAAAGAAGAGGAAGAACTGGCATCTGACCTTAGTCATGCTCAGGCCATTCATCTTTGCTGCTTTTTCATGTTCATATCCTTTCAACCAGAATGAAAAAGTTTTATACTCTCTGCTGTGTTGCATGAGGATGATGATGATACATATGCCATCTACATGACACTTTGCAAATAACATCTTTGACAAGTTCCAACTCCAAGATAAGTAAAATATGAGGACCTCTTCACATGGCCCACGGGAGCCATGCCGTTGCACCGGCAGTCATTGGCAAAAAGGAAGGTCTGTGGGGCGCCTTGTGGAGCCCCGCACACAATCTCTCCTTTCCCATCACATGGTGGGGATGGGACAGGGAAGGTTGGCACCCTGTCTCCACCAAATCTGAGGAAGGGCAGCAATGTGCATTGTCCCACTGCCCTTTCCCGCATCATATGGGGAAAAGGGCAGGTACCTGAAAAACGCTTTCCTCCCTGTGTTGGAGGAGGAAGCACCTTTTGACGCTTCACCTCTACTTCTTGAAGAATGAGGGCAGGGCCTGCCATGCATTATGCAAAACTGGGCTATTTTGCCCTAAGTGAAGAGGTCCTAAGAGAGAAACAATAGCATTAGCGGAAGAGAACAGAAACATCTACTCAGGTGAACTGAGGAAATACATTTGATTATTCTTTTAATTAGGGCTTCTCTACACTGTCAACAACAACAACAACAACTCTGTACTACCCACAAATGTATTCCCTGTCCCTTCAATGCACAACATCTTACAGTGAGTATTGCAAGGGAATTGCTTTAAACCAACTTTATCCCACCACCATTTCTTACTGGAGGGAAGAAGACCCCTTTGTGAAATACACAAAAGCACCAACAACAGCAAGGCATTTGGACAAAGCTATGCGGCAAATAGGAGCAGCAGCAACATGGAAGAGGTGAGATGCAAGAATGGTCGCAGAGTGTCAGTACAAATGTTCCAGGGGCTGTTCTAGAGCACATTGAGGTTAGGCTAAACTGCCCAGTGTAGATGAGTCCTATCTCACAGATCGCTGGCCTCCCAGATACGGGCAACTTTCTTGCATCTATGATCTGATCTCCTGTGCCCAACCTCATACTGGCATGGGCCCCACCATGGTGCCAACGAAATTTGGCTACAAACCATGAAGTTCAGTGGCAAACAAGAAAGATCATCTTATAGTAAGTTGGAAAAGCTTTTTAACAAGTATTTTTGTTTGTGCTTTACGTGAAACTGTAAGAGTATTTTTAAATGAGCATTTCTGACTTACTTAAAACTCCTATTTCCACCCAAATTCAGTTGAGCCTGGTATTTTTGTGAAGGAGATAGGAGGAAGGAGGGAGAGAAAGAAGGTGAGAGGGAGTGTTGTGGGGACCACTTGTGCCTTATAGGCCAAGTATTGCCTTTTTTCCTCTCCTCCAGTTACTTTGGACTGCAGCTCCCATTACAGCCTGCTAATATTGTCCAGTCAGGACTTATGGAGTTAGTAATCCAAAACCCCTGCAAAACATCAGGCTCGGGAAGAATGGAGCAGGGCATAGAACCAAAGATTTCCTGGAACAACTGAGTTTGGGGTACACACCTGAAGTAAATAAGGTTGATGACTACATAGTGAAATTATGGGTGAAGGTTTCAAGCATAAGAAGCAATGTCTCAATTTACTCTTGCTTTCATCTGCATCCTAATAAAGGGCTGGACTAAGCCACAATCAAGGCAAGGAGGAAATATCAGAAGAAGCGCTATGTCTAAAGCACAAGTCAGCAGTGAGACAGTCATCACCATCTCTCATCTCCAGAAAATACACCTCCCCACCAGCATTTTTCCACTCCTGGTGTCAGCTCTTTGCAAATGTTCATTCGTGGTGTCAGCCACAAGCACCACAGCAGCCAGAAACTTGTATGGGTGCAAGAATGGCTACATAAAAACAAAAGGACATGTTGGTATCTCCAGCAACACCAGTCTCCTGGTTCAGATAAAACTAAAAACAAGGTGTGTGCACAGTTATATCAGTTTGGTAGCATTTTACCTATCCTGTGAAATCCTGGGGATTGTTTCTTGCTGAGGCTCTCAGACAGAGAGCTTTATTCTACTCTTTTAAATCCAATCTAAGAAAATAATGGAATTTGAGGTCTTTATTTGAGCCCTTGATAAGCCATTCCAACATGGCTTCAGGGCCTTAGGGGCTGATTTTTGCTAGGAATGACACCGTGAAGGCGATTCCCCTCTCACATACCCAGTCTTACTTCATTCCCTCATTTTCAGCTTGGACATTTAGGAGCTTCCTCACACAGTCAAACCAAGTGTGTACACAGTCCTTTTGGAAGTTGCTCTCAAAATGTCAAGCTGCTGAGAACATCATAGAGAACTACAGAATACTGAGGAAGACTGAGGAAGTACTCACTCTTAATTAATCATAGAATAATAGATTAGCCTTGGAGAGTAGTGCCCCACCTGTGTTAATATACTTGTAGCCAGAGCTCTGTGATAGATATTTCTAAGTTCTTGCCTAAAATATAAATCCTAGGATTCTTTAACATGACATTTAAAGTAATACTAATAATAATAACTTTATTTTTGTACTCTGCCTCCATCTTCCCGAAGGGACTCAGGGTGGCTTACATTGGGTCAAGCCCGATGAAAACAGTTAAAATATGACACAATTAAAATACATAACACCAATGTAGAAGAACCCATTATAACAGTATAAAACAGGCATCAAAATCAATAAGCAATAACAAAATTCAGTTTATTGTCACAGGTGTGTGGACTGGTGAAACAATAACTTAAAGGATAGGTCTAATAGATAAGTTGCTTGGGTCATAAGGCAGCAGTAAAAATAGCAGCAATGGTAAAGTAGTATCAAACTATTATATTTGTGTAGCATAGATACAGTTTTGGCCTCATTGCCAATGCTGATGCCAGTTCAGTGGCATTAACTTCATTAGATTTTGCATATAAAAAGCAGAAATATTTCTTGGATGGAAACTTCAGTATAAAAAGATCCAAGATACAGATTTCATCTGGTATGCTGATGAAAACTGTACTTGTCACTTTTTAAATATATTGATGATATTGTCTATTCATATACTGTACATATATGCTAAGCACTGCATTACCTTTGCTTTATGGTCTAAAATAGACAAAAGAATATGGCTTCTATTGTTAAGCTGTTGTTTGAATTTTGGTGAATGACAGAGTTTATGAGGGGTGAGAGGGAGTCAGTGATTAAAAGAAACCTTTCGTTTCTTCCAAAACAATTTGGGCAGCAACTGCCTATTAGTTTCTCATAGCATAAACCATGGCTCCTTGGAGATTGACATCTGGTAGGAAGTCCTTAATTAGAATATTCCTAGGCTGCTACTCCAGAGAGTTGATTATGCAGCAAGGGGATGATCCAGAGAACTCAATTTGTATTACAAGGAAAGAGTGAACTGTTACTAGCACAGAACAGAGACAATCAAGATGGTGTATTGGATTTTGAATAAAAGCTTGACAGTTCTGTTATTTGTAAGTATCTCTTTCATAATCAGGCTACTGAATCTGATTAATTTTTTGATATTTTATTGGAATTCTTGTTATTCTTAAGTCTTTCAGTTGTGACATTTCAATCTACAACCTTTGCACATTATAAACTCTTTCTTCCATGCGCCTGTGAGACTTCTCCTTGTTAAATACAATATGATTGAAAGATTTTTTTAAAAAGCTTATATCTCTTCTGCAGTCTATTTTAGGGTGGTGTTTGTGAATTTCTAATCTTTAAGGGAGGAAATACACATTTGACTAATCTTTAAACGAAACTGAGGGAGGAGACACTGATTGGCAATCCATTACTATTGTAGGTAATGTGGCTGGGAATGAATTTATACCTGTTTATTGACACATTTACCTGGTATGAAGATGAAGATGCCTATCTCTACACACGGGTTATGCTAGGTGTAAGTAGCCATTTATTAAATGCCTCCACAGTGAAATTTCAAATTTGTGGTAGATCCTTATTGTGCATACTCAAATCTCACTGATTTGCATGCTGTCATTACATTCTGATATTTTAGATTGAATCTTATCTATTTACTTATTTATTCATGCATGCATGCATTCATTTAATGTATATCCTGTTCCTCTCCCAGTATGCAACCCAAGGCAGCATTCAAATGCCACATAACTCTTCAACTATGTTTAGCCAAATTAGATTTAACTAGATTTGCCAGGTGATTTGTTTATCTTTATGACTGAACAAAGAACTGCTTCATACATTTTTGGTAATCATAATTTATTTATTTATTTGCTTCATTTATATCCCGCCCTTCTCAACTCCGAAGGGGACTCAGACCAACCTTACAAATTAGGCAGCAATTAGATGCCAAAATTAAACATATAATAAAATAAAAATTTACATTGAAACCAAAACATTAAAACAGTACAATTTAAATAAACCAAAATGCTCTTTTTTTAAAAAAAAAAATGGTATCTATTGTATATTGAACTTGCCTTACCCAAAGAGTCTTAAATGAAATATACCTCACCTAGCCGTAACCTTACTGCAAAAACATCATGCCTCTCTGCTGCACCAGAATCTCATGATTTGGTATGTCCTCACCTATTTGCTGGTGCCTTCAGATCAAGACATAAGTAAATCCTAAGACAGTTTGCTGCTTAAAGAGAACACAGCTGTGCTCCTTCATTGACTAGGAATGTCATCTTTTGCTATTTTGTTCAAACACAAAGTCCTAGACTTTGAAAAAGTAACTTGCTGGACTACAGTTTTCACAATCATCTAGCTAGCATTTTGGGACCTTAGTCCAACAAAATTAATGTTTCTATGTTCTGAGAATTCTTCTGTATTCATTCTCTGTTCTCTCCCCTGTAAATCATTTCACACAAAAGAGCTAATTTTGGACACAGAGATTTGACAGTTTTGAAGTTCTGGGAATATTTCTTTTGCTTTTTATTCTTCTCAAATAGCTAAAGCCTTTGTCATTCTGTGTACAGACCACACTTGCCTGGGCAAGAGCTTCGGCCACTTGTCTCAACTTTAACTGCCTGCTAATCCTCTTACCAGTCAGCAGAAACCTTATTTCGTTTATAAGGGGAACAAGTTTTGTAAGTACTTTTCTCTGTTCAGTAGGTATTATCCTTTTACTATACTTCTTGACACAATTTATCAGTATAATCTCATTTGGGACTGTATTAACAACTAGAGCTTGGAAGTATTACTTTTTAAGACCACCAGCCAATGCCATTTGAGGGATCTGATAATTCTAGTTCAAAAATAACTTTCTTGGTTCTGATAGAAAATGTCCCCCCATCCCATTCCTGTTTTGCAGTTTAGAAGTACCAAAGAAACTGTGGTACTTTCTGTCATAGTCAGAAAGTCAAAAATCACTTGAGTGCTGCAGATATAGTAATAATTTTGTCAAAACATTGACTATAATGTTGGCTTTAGATTGAGACAGCTCATGCAATTCATGGGATGGCCCTACTAGAAGAAAAGGAAAGGTGATTTTCCTTTAGTCCACTTCTGCGCAGACCCTGCAGCCTTTTACTTTTACATTTTTTCTCCTCAAAATTATTTCAGGAGTCATGTTATCCTTCTCCTCCTGTGACATAATTTCAAATAGAGTAAAAAAAAATTGCTTTCGTTTTGAACTAACCACAGTTTAGCCTTATGTACAAAGTTGCGCAAAACCTGATGGTTTAAAAGAAAACAACTTTTCATTAAGCTGATCTGTCTCACCACACCATAGCTAATCTTCATAACATATTACAGTTTGGGTGTAATGCTAATTTGGGCTTTAGAGGGTGGTGAACACACACTATGTTTTAGTCTAAACTGAAAAGGAATTATCCAAGGTGCTGAATACAATCCCTGGAATAGGTTTACCATCTCGGAAAGCTCCTTTAAAGTTTGTAGCAAACCCAGAGTGGATTTAGCACTCCACTGACACAGAAGCCATCACCCACCTCTGGGCTTATTCTTTTAATAATGTGTCATATTTTAAGTTTGAGAGCCATATGACATAGGGATTGATAGCCTAACTAGTTTGGGAAACCAGAGTTTGAATCTCTGTTTGGCTTGGAAGCCCACTGGCTGTCCTTGAGCAAGTCATGCTCTCTCAGGCCCCTTCCACACAGCTGAATAAAATCCCACATTTTCTGCTTTGAACTAGGATATATGGCAGTTTGGACTCAGATAACACCGTTCAAAGCAAGTATTGTGGATTATTCTGCCTTGATATTCTGAGTTATATGGCTGTGTGGAAGGGCCCTTGGATTGAGAAGAAGGCAGTAGTAAAGCTAATCTGAACATTTTTTGCTAAGGAAACTTTATGATAAGATCTCCATTGATTGAAGTTGGCATGAAGATGTGCAACAACAATTTTAAAATTATAACAGGGACTTGGTCTGAAAACAATGACATTGGATAGGATTTGAAAATAGATTTCTCTTTTCATTAAGTGTTACAGAGGCATGCTAAGGAGACAGCTGGATAAAAACATCACATTTCACAAGACTATTGCCTATGGAGTAGCTGTAAATGCAAGTAAGTTTAAGCCTTATGCTTGCGGTGTCCGTCCTCTAGTTCCACTCTATGGGTCATATGTTTTTAGTTTTTTGTTTCCCCTGGGGTTCCCATATCCCAAGTGCATATTATGCACTTGCTATACAGTGGGATCTTGGTAGTCCCCCATGGAAACCAAAATCTGTGAATGTTTGAGTCCCATCCATTACACTAGCATGCTAAAATGGTGTCCATTATATAAAATAGTCAAATCCAGGTTTACTTTCTTGATTTATTTTGAAAAGGTTTGAAGTCATGGATTGTTGAATCCATGGATACAGAATCCATAGATATTAAGGGTTGACAATGAGATGGGAAATGAGTGACCCTTCAGGTGCTATTGGATTGTAACTCTCATAAGATGTAGCCTGTTTTATACAGTGAGAAAGACATTGCCTCCTGTTCCAAGTGTTTGCGACCAGTTTGTTGAAAGTTAGCCCCAAATTAGCACAAAAATGAAATGGAGGAGGGAGGAGTTGGTGGCTTCAGGAGGAAGACTTTGTTCAATTTAAGCAACTTTTCAATTTTAGGAGAGATCTTTAGCACAATCATGTCATAAAGCTCATTCTCCTGTACCTGGGACCATTTCTGCTGTGTTGCCCAGTTTTAATGGATAACAGGGCAAATGGGAGTTTTGGAGAAAGAGGGCTCCAATTCCACTAAGTAACCTTTGCAGTATCTCTATGACTGGATTGCCATCTACATACACCTTTACAGCAGTCAAAGCAGAAATGTGAATGTTTGCTGCTCTTTGGACTGGTAGCAACATATTGTTCCCTTCACCCTTTCCAGGAAAAACCACAAATCTTGCTGCAATGGAGATCTAATGTACAAGGTATATTGAAATGACAGATGAATTCCAACTTTCTGGTTAATAGTTGTGGGTGTTTTAGTATGGTTTAAGTAGATTGTAGTAGCTGTGTTTGCATAGGTTAATTGTATTTTGTATTTGATCATTTTGTGTAGTCTTACCTCATGTGCTGTTTTATATTATGTGAAATTTGTTTGTTAATAAAGATATTTTAAAGAAAGAAATAACAGAACAAGCAGCTCACAATTTCTACCTACGAGTATCAGGTTATTGTTGAGTATGGCATGATTCCCACCAAGATCAATCAACTCCAGTTTTGCTCTTTGTTTTGGCTTTTAAAAATTCTAAAAAGGTACGGAATGCAGACCACGCAGTGTCGTGGTATGCTCATCTATCATGCCCAGCAATTTATCAATGTAGTTTCATCATAAGAATGCACACTTTTTAAAACCTTTTAATTAAAAAGGCATTCCAGGAATAGAAATCAAGTCATTCAGCTATGTTTTTTCATGAACCAAACTTGAAAAGAGCTTCAAAGTAAAAAAGGACCAAAGTGAAATATCTTCCCTATTGGTAGAAGAGCAGGACATTTTCACAGAACAATCAGGAAATAAATTCTTAAATTTTCTCTCCCCACCTCCTGTGATCTTAATATTTACCCCCCCCCCCCAACAACACTCATTATGGAAAAAGTGTCTGTCTAGTTTGGCAAGAGAGAAGGGAAAGTTGAGTTGATGTATTTGTAACAAAACAAGGGCATAATTCAGCAAGACTGTAGGTTTAAATCATATGATTCAGATTAAGGGCACTGCCCGTCTTGGGCAGGTCCATTGTTTGGAGGTCTTTGGCACCCATTGACCCAGCAGCCCTGTTGAATGTGCACATGATACTGGTGGTAGAGATGATGTTTGGGAGATGGCCCAACATCCATGCTTTTTACTTGATGAAAGAGAATCCCATCACAATAATTCATATGGTAATGATTACCAGGATATAGTGCTGTGACATATTCTATGAAAGGCTGCTCTTGGAACCTGTTCAGAAAGCTCCACTATTGCAATACAGTAGAGTCTCACTTATCCAACCTTCGCTCATCCAGTGTTCTGTATTATCCAACACAGTCTGCCTCCTCCCCGGATCTACTACTGTTTCAATACACTGTGATGTTTTGGTGCTAAATTCATAAATGCAATAATTACTACTTAATGTTACTGAGTATTGAACTCCTTTTTCTGTCTGTTTGTTGTAAAACAATGATTTTTTGGTGCTTAAATTGTAAAATTATAACTTTTTATGTCAGGAGCGACTTGAGAAACTGCATCATAATCATAACGTAATTTGATGTTTTATAGGCGTTTTCCTCCTTATTATCCAACATTTTTACTTATCCAACGTTATGCCAGCCAGTTTATGTTGGATATGCGAGACTCTACTGTATATCTCTTTTGATATTGACTGGGAAAAGGAAGCATGATATCTTAACTGAGATTCTGCATTGCATGGGGCAGAATGTAATGGTCGACTCCCTGAATTTTTATCTAGCTGAGAATGCAAACCCAAGTGATCACTGGTGTGCTGCTAGCTACCCAACTAGTAACTATAGCTAAGAGTTCAAGTACATGCTGCAGCTATAATTTAAGACCCTATCCAGTCCTTTTGCTTTTCATAGCCTATTTTATCTATTGTGCATCATATTTAAACTAACATTACCCATAATTTATCCTAAACTTTCCAGTTCTAATCTGTCATTTCAAACATCCGGAGCTGTATACAAAAGATGAGATAGTAATAAGTACTGCTTGTTTTTTCAGTCATATACTCATCTTTGGTATGATATAACAATTGGTGATCAATCAGTTGTAATGAGAATACTAATCTGGTTAATTAGAAGAAAAGTGACACCAATGCAACTGTTATTCCAGCCAGGCATGCAGGGAGATTGAGGAGTGAGTTTTACTCTTGAATAAGTACAAGCACTAGTTCAATAACAGCTGTATATGCTTCAGTGAGAACAAACAAGGATTAATATATCAAGACTTAGCTCTTTGGTCCTTTCTTTGCTTACTGAACAGATAATGACCTGTAATTGCTGCTCATTTACTACACCCTCCTTAAAGAAGAACAGAGCAATGAGATGGATGGGAAAATATAGAAGAGTGTGCCGCAGAGTAATATTAGGGCATGTCAGCAATTCACATATCATATCAGGGGATGGGGAATTGAAATTTATGACTATTGAACTGATTACTAGTCATGAAAATTGATGTCCAGCTGCCATACTGGGATTCGTACCCAGGCTTTTCATAGCATCTCTGAAAAATGCTCCACTCACCTTCTTAACTTTTATTGGAAAATGTTCTTCTGTCATACTGAGAAGTAAAGCCAATCTGAAATTGGTTGAATAATCTTTCTTCTTATGTGGTTCAAAACTCTTGGGTCTATTCTAGATTTTTGAATTTCAGTCCCTTTGAAATACTGTTTTTTAAAATTCCACATAACTTCCCCAATCTGAGAAAACCTTGTTTATAGTGTGTAGAGGGGAGGTCTTTTAACACACGAGGATGGGCCCTTCCACACAGTCCTATATTCCATAATATCAAGGCAGAAAATCCCACAATATTTGCTTTGAACTTGGTTCTCTGAATCCACACTCAGATAATGTGTGATTTTCTGCCTTGATATTCTGGGATGTAGGACTCTATAGAAGGGCCCTAAGTTTCTGGGTTTCCTTACAACAATGGGAACTAGCCAGGAGAATCCACTGTGTCTGAATCAGAATGTCTTCTATATTTCAGATTCTATCTCATGAAGATGATGGCTTAAGTTTTGAATGAGATCTGAATGAGATCCAAAGCATTTCCCCACATTTAGTTCTGTCACTTTTCCTGTATTCTCCTTGATTTTTTGTTAAAACTGAAATTAAACCACAAGTAAAGACAAAACTTCAAATAGGCTAAGAAAGGGAGGGTTGTTTGAAATGAACAAATTTCAAGTAAGTAAGTAAAACTTTATTGCTCTCCCTCCTCATCTCCCCCAGGAGACTCAGGGTGGCTCACAACATAAAAGCCAAACATTCAATGCCATAAAAATACAATAATAAATGAAACAAATACAGATAAGCAATACAACACATTTGACAATAAGACAGTCACATGAAAAGCAATAATAACAAATTACACAAGGACTACAATTTGTATAAAGAGCGCATATTTCAGAAAGTATCTCGTTCTCACTAATGTTATGTGCACATTCTTTTGCTTCCCAACAAAGTTAAGGAGACAGGTAGTGCTATGTTTTGAATCTATCTAGCTCAAACTAAGGAAACTGTAAGCATGCACAAATTAGTATACAGAAAGGGTTCTATAGAAAATGTGAGGAGCGTTATAGTGAAACACTCAGGCAGTAACTTTTATTTGAAGGTGCTTATCCAAATGGGGAGAATTGTCTGTCATAGCACATTATTTTCTTCACCTTAGTAACTTGCATGTAGTGTGCTTTAGTTTGTCATTGGAAGGAATATTAGATTGCTGTTATGCACATTCTGAGGAACTGATCTTTGAGAAAATTCATAGTGGTAAGAAAAACAAATTGAATGTAAGGTGCATTATTGGGTTTCTGAGGAAATCTATTGTGGGAGGAAAAGCAGGCTAATTATGCAGCATGCAAATTCCATTTGATATCTATTTTCATTCTGAATAATTGTGCAAATGTTAAAATATGTCATATCACAAATGAGCTGAGTTTTATTTTGCTATGTACACCAGTTCATGCTAGAAAATGAATGATAACCTACTGATTGTTTTCAAGGTGTACATAACAATATATTATTGTCAAGTTAGATGTGTTTTCTTTATGAAACAGAAAAAATAAAGATTTATCATCCGAATTAAAAGTATATGTTATTGATATTTGTAAACCCAAATGTTGGTTCCAATATTTCTTTTTAATGAAAGCAAAGGGTAAATCAGTCTATGGTCCCATCCACACTATTAAAATAATTCATTTCCATTTTGCATGATTTTGAACTGATTTATTTATTTATTTAAAGCATTTATATTCCGCCCTTCTCACCCCAAAGGGGACTCAGGGCAGAGCACAATATATAAACAGCAAACATTTACTGCCGGGACATGACTAGATTGTACACATACATAAACATTAAAATTGCTTGTCTTGACGTTAAAATACTCTGTTTAAAACTGTCTCCAACATCCAAATCGAATCTGGTTCACATAATAAGAATTCCTATAGCTGCCTCATTGCACAGTTGGTTCCACAGCCAAGATTTTGTCATCCTTATAGGCCAAAGCCAGCACTTTGAATTGTGCTCGGTAGCAAACTGGCAGCCAGTGGAGCTGGCGTAACATGGGAGTTGTGTACTCCCTGTATGCCGCTCCAGTAATTAACCCACCTGCCTCTTGCTGGACTATTTGAAGCTTCTGAGCAGTCTTCAAAGGCAACCCCACATACAGCATGTTGCAGTAATCTAACCTAGATGTGGCCAGAGCATGGACCACCATGGCTAAGTCCGACTTCCCAAGGTACGGGCGCAACTGGCGCAAAAGTTTTGATTGTGCAAAAGCCCCCCCAAGCCACTGCTGCAACCTAAGATTCCAGACTTAGTGATGAGTCCAGGAGGACTCCCAAGCTGTGAACTTGTGCCTTCAAAGGGAGTGTAACCCCATCCAGCACAGGCTGTAACCCTATACCCTGTTTGGCCTTGTGACTGACCAGGAGGAATTCTGTCTTGTCTGAATTCAACTTCAATTTGCTTGCCCTCATCCAGACCCTTCGGGTCACTGTTAACTGTTATAATCTACACCAAATGTGTGTTGACAGCCACAACATTTCTGCCTCAGAACTCATTTTGAGATAAAAGACAGTATCTTATTTCCACATCATACTTACTCACACTAATCATCTTTCTTGTTTTCCTGTCAATCTTACCATAAAAGTATCTGACTGTTGGGGATAGAAAACACTCCTCCCACATGAAATTCACAGCATTTTCTAAAGGAAGGGATACTCAGAGGTACCTTCAGTGCCCAGAATTCATTGGCCATCCAAATACCAACCAGGGCTAACCCTGCCTAGTTTCCAAAATCAGACATCATCCCAAGTTTAGGACATTTTTGGCAAACATGTCATACTGACCAACTTTAGAAATGCATTAGTTAATATATGTGAACACACATATCTTTTTTCTGCAGCAGAAATAGCCTTTGGGTTAAATTTTGGGAAGTGGCCTCTTCAAAGAAGCAGCTATCAAACTCCAGGGCTGGAGGAACTTGGCAAGGACTATGACAAATTACCGAACAGTGGAGCAATAGCAGTTCCTGGGGGAAGAGGCAAAATGGGTGGAGCAAGTTTGTTTTTGTAGTTCTCAAAGAAATCGGTCTGTCGAGTTTGGGAGAGTGATAAAGCACTACATATTTCTGGCTGGAGTCTTTCTTGTACATGTCTCTCTTTAAGAAGAAGCCACATGGAAATTAATGGGTTTAAATTCTTTGTCATACCTACTAAGTTTTGAAGGTGATTTTGCCTGTCTCTATGCAGGGAATTAAAAAATAAGTCTATTGCCAACCGGCTTAGGAATCATTTTAAAAACCAACACTTTAGAAACCTCAAAATACCTCAGTCCCACAGTTGAAGCTTGCTTCGGGTGAAGGGCACCGTGGGTTGCCATTTCTTAAATGTGTAGAAATGCTTATTTTACTGCATGTGATGAAGTCATAAACCCACCATTTAAGTAATTGTGTATTAACTGAAGGAACACTAATTTTATTCCCAATAATGGCATATTATAATCTTCACTTTCTTTTTACAGTTATCCATATCATTGCACACTTGGTCAATATAGAACGATTTCACTACAGCCAGTCCAAACAAGCAGGTGTTTTAAGTCACACACTATCTGACATTGGCAAGAGCCCCAATGAAAGTTATTTGAACCCAATCAGGAGCTATGAAACAGTAAGTTGCCTATATTCTTATTGTTAGTGATTGATCTCTCTCAGTGGGTCTCTTCCCCCACCTCCAAAACGACACATACTAATCCTGTGCTCATATGTTTATGTGAAAGTGAAAGACCTGCAGAGCAAACTAGTGAAAGCTTCTGAGTATTCAAAATACTTTTAGTTTTCCCCTAACAGTACTCCTTTATTTTACCAAGTACAAACACACTTTGTACCACATGTTAGCAAAGTATTTTTTAAACGACCATGATTTTAAAACAAAAAGACTTGTGATGATTCACAGAGTTCTACATTTCATACATAGTTCTACATTTCATTCAATTGTTATGCCCAACTAGGGCAGATGAATTGAATCAATAAAAAAAATGGTAAGCAAAGTGTCTTTAAAGTTCTATTGGTTTAATGGGTCTACTCAAGTGAAAATAATAACCTGCCTCTCCTAAAAGCTTGAAGCAGGGTAAAACATTGTTAAAACAAAGAGATAAAAAACTACTAAAATAAAACAGTTACATTTAGATAATAGTTTTTTACAAAATGTTTCCATGCTTCAAAACAGGTAGGAAAAGGGAGCTGCAGAGTGACAGAAGATTGACTTGTGTAGCTGGTTGTAGGATAGGTCATGTCAAGAACTAGCAATGCAAAATGAATGCCTACAATACAAGCAAGCTTAGGTAGAGAATATAAGAGATGAGGTACTATTATTGTGATTCCGTGTTTATCTCAGATCAATAGCTTAGTGTAAAGCTCTTTCATTCCCAGTCCCATCAATAATACTTATTTTCTAGTGTCCGCAAGGTAATTTAGACTGCAGCTCTCTACCTCTTATCACTTACTTGAGAGTAAGAGTCATTGATCTCAGTGCAACTTCCTTTTGAAAAGATAAATATAGGCTTTGCATGGTTAAATCCTCCATTATATTGCACAGTTGCATGATTCAACCTCATTTTGTTTTTTAACCTGCTGAAGATAGGTGGTCTTTTAGACAATTGAATTTGATCTGTTTTCTGCAGAGCCAAAATAGCTTCAAAACAACCTGCATGATATAATTCTGCATATGCACACTTTTTACTGGAAAAAACGATGTGGTAATATGTGCATAACTCATTACATGACATTCCCTTTTAAGAAACTGACTTTTACATTATTCCATTCTACCTTTCTATTGTTACCTTTCTGCTTCAACAAATCTTGCTGTAACAATTTAATTCTTTCAGAAAGACTTGGTTATAATAAAATGGGTATTGTTGAGAATATGCAATTTTCTTTTATAATTTCAAGGAAGCAAACAAATTGCAGTTAATATTACTTATACAATGTTCTGGAACAAATTTAATGAGAAAACAGCTGTTTTTAAAATCAGTGTGTATCTGTGTGATTTGTAAAGTTTTTTCCATCATCTCTTTATTGTTATGCTGAAGCTATAGTTCCAATTCAGTCTTCTCATAAACTATTCTTTTCTTTTCTCATTAAGAACACAATAAGCGAAATACTGACATCAATTGCTGGAATAACTGGCCTCTTGATTACAGTGTCGTTAATTCTGATTATGACTTCATCAACAGAAATCATAACAAGATCCTTTTATGAGGTGTTCTGGTACACCCATCACCTATTCACTGTGTTTTTTATTGGTCTGGCTATCCACGGTATGGGGTGAGTATAAACGTATGTTACATAATATACTTCTTTCAACCATATGACGTGATCACTCAGCTTGAGTAGAGGGAAATTAAAAGATCCAGCATAGAAACAGCCTAAGACAAAATAAGGCAGCTGCCACCACAGCAAACTTTCAGATTTTCTCAGATTGCCATCATTAGCACTCTCCTGTAGGGGAAGAGTGCTAAAAGTAGAGCATAGAGATCCAGTTTGCTCTAGAGTGCCTACATAGTCACCACATGAACCAGCTGAAAGAAGCAAGGGATTCCAGACAGATTTGCCAGATCTAAACTTAATTAATCTCTCCAATCAAAACCAGATGTTTTCCCATACCTCCTTGCAGAAATCCTTTGAACAAACATTTTCCCAGTAATTGCCTCACAACACAAGAAAGTAAGGCAGTGAAATCAAACATTTCCATTTGCTGCCAAGGGGATCCATTTGTTTACCTTCCCACTGGGCTGTGGCCCCATCTATAAAGTCAGTATAATCCATCCTGAAACCGACCCAAGGTTGGGTTGTTTACACAACCTACACTTCCAATGTGACTTCCAATTTGCATCCAGCTGGAAATGCCATGTTTTAAAAGCTCACTGGGTATTCCAGATCAAGCCCATCACTATGTAAACAAAGCAGGAATGCAAATTGGAAGATGTATGCTGAGCACTTGTCAGGACAGGGTTAATGCATCAAGTGTTGCAGAGAGAACTCAGATAAACAGCTCTGAAGGAAGGTAAAGAAACTTGATTTCAGTGCCTTGCTTTTGTCAAGCACTAATCAGCTGTTTACAAGCAGTGTTTCTCACTAGAGGAGCAAAGAAAAAAAGGAAGTAGCGTTTTCATAGTGTAATCATTGAAATAAGAAATGCACCCTTGCCTTGAGAATGTGCACATCTGTAGAAAAATGAAACACACACTTTTTCACACATTTTAAAATGCAAATAACTGAATAATTAAAATATATATCATTTAAATATGCACAACATGCCAATAGGGACTAATTTGTATATTAGGAGAAAAGAGAAAGGGCCAGGCAGGCAGGATCAGGAGCAGTGGTGACAGAAGTACCCAAGCACCAGCTGGTCAACTCTTCAGCACAGTAATTTTCCCAACATCAACTCCAATGACACATTTGATGTATCTTAGGGTTTTAAATCTTGAATTAGGTTTGTGTGTTCCCTGGTAAAGAAAAGGTTAAGAAATACAATTAGGGAAAATGCCAAAAAATGAATATTTCAGTGTCTGAAAATATGAAACAAGGATGGAAAATGTAAGTGATGTCTGGAGAAGCAATGAAAATGAAAAAGAATTGTATATCCTTATTTGTTTTAAAATAAGTTTAGATTCATTTTCTTAAGTTTTGATTTTTAGATAGCCTTCATGAAAATTATAATAATGGAAATTAAATATAAAAGACTGTTTAGGTTCAAAACTCACATTATCCTTTGGGTTCTTCTGTTTAGTCAGCTCATTCGTGGTCAGACCCATCAGAGTCTTTTGATGCACAATGTCACGTACTGTAAAGATCACTATCTGGAGTGGGAAGCATCTGCTCAGTGTCCCCTTCCTCAGTTCTCTGGCAATGACCCTGCGGTAAGTTTATGTTATCAAAATTGTAGAGACATAACTTCCTGTATAGAATTCCAGTTTGGTGCCTGAAAAAAAATCCAGCTAATAGACCTAATTTGCTAATGATGCTTTCCATACTGTTCAATGATTTTACTATATGGTGCATTGCTTCTTCTTGCAGTAGATTAAGTTTGCCAGCCTTGTCACATGAGGAAAAACAACAACATTTGATGTGAACATTTTTAAGAACCAAGAAGAGAAAACTCAAGTAAAGGGTCTAATAGACTTGAGAGGTAGTTTTTCTTTCCTTAAAAATAGTAAACAATACTGAAAATCTATAGTGAGTAATAATGTAAATTTTTATATATTATCCCAAATATCTAAGTGACAACGAACCAACCAACTTTTAATATCATTTATTTCTAGGCAACCGCTCTCAAGATTAGTAGTGGGGAGGAAGAGAGTAGGCATAAAATATATAAAATAAGGAAGGGAGGAAAAGGTCAATGTCATATAAGTATGTTAATGGTTGACCTAGATTAGTTCCTATAAAACCTATTACAGTATTTGCTCCTGCCTTGCTTGCATATTATGAAACCAAACAATATATCTACAAACTTCAGATAAGTTAGTGTCTGCAAAAATCAATACTGTGATAGCAGTTTGCTTCCAATATCATATACTGTGACTGCAAGAAGATCCAACCAGTCCATACTTCAGGAAATAAAGTCCGACTGCTCATTGGAGGAAAGGATATTAGAGGCAAAGATGAAGTACTTTGGCCACATCATGAGAAGACAGGAAAGTTTAGAGAAAACAATGATGCTAGGGGCAGAGGCGGCCCTAGGTAATTTTGAACGGTAAGCAAACAGTATTTTGGCCCCCCCCCCCCAACCAATCACTGATATATATTTTCTGTTGTCGTGGGAGTTCTGTGTGCCATATTTGGTTCAATTCCATCATTGGTGGAGTTCAGAATGCTCTTTGATTTTAGGTGAACTATACATCCCAGTAACTATAACTCGCATATGTCAAGGTCTATTTTCCCCCAAGAGTGCCTCAAGAGCGCCCCTGGGCAAAATCAACTATACTGCAAATGCTTACTTTGCATAATGGGTTGAGCCCCCCTTGATACAAAAAAAAAGGAAGAGGGGCCGACCAAGGTCAAGATGGCTGGATGGTATCATTGAAGTGACTGGCTTGACACTGAAGGAGTTGGGGGTGGTGACGGATGACAGGGAGCTCTGACGTGGGCTGATCCATGAGGTCACAAAGTGTTGGAAGTGATTAAATGAATAAACAACAACAAACTAATAAACATAACATGAGCTGCTCACCATCTATATACACACCCAAAGAAATGTAGTGAAGGTCTTGTTAGATTAATTTTCAATCATCCAGAGTTAGATTTATATGGCACATAAAATGAAAATCCATACTATAATAACAGATATCTAATCATATTGTTAAATAGAAATTGTATTTCAAATAGACAAGGATTTATTTTAGTGCAAACCATTCATTAATGCATATTAGATTAGAGCAGTTGGTCTCAGACCATGGTTTGGAGAGCATGGTAAACTTGTGGATGGGTGAAGTTCTAAGGAGGGATAAGATTTTAACAAATGAGTCTTCTTCCTTTCTCTTTAATTAAAACCTATGTGGTGTAATGGTTTCAGCACTAGACTGATTTGGAGATCTGAGTATGAATCCCTTCTCAGCTATAAAAATGCATTAAGTGGTCATTGGCAAATTACATATTTTCAGCTTAAAGCAAGGGGGAAAAAAACTTCTGAACAAATTTTGCCAAGAAAACCCCAGTATAGGTTTGCTTTAGGGCTGCCATACCTCGGAAAAGACTTGAAAGCACACAACAATAGATTGAATACAGTTGTAATGTGGTATAGAGGCTTGAGTCTGGGCTCGAACTCCATAGACCACCCTCAGCTATGAAAGCCTACTAGTTGACCTTGGACAGGACACATTCTTTCAGTTTTGGAGGAAGACAGTGGTAAATCTTTTCTGAATAAATGTTGCCAATAAAACCTATGATAGAGTTGTCATAAGTTAAAGTTGACTTGAAGGCACATTTTTTAAAAACCCATCAACAACAATAGATTTAGTAAATAAATCCTCACTGATGTCGATTAAGGTGGGGAGATTACTGTTCCTTTATTGACCTTCTTTTAGAAGAAGGCTGTACAGAAAAAGTTGACGCTTTGCACATATGTATCCCTATACTTGACTCTAGGAGGGATTCTGATGGTATATAATCTAATGCCAAAGCTAGTTTTCTATACCTGTAAAATGAACCTGGCACTAACGTGGCTTAATACCTCTATATATTCATTAGTGGAACAGAATGCTGGTACTTGGTTGTACATCTATCTATTTGTCTGTGTACCTATCGCCATATTTCCCCGTGTCCTGCACAACTTGTATTGCCCCCCCCCCCCGGTTTTTATATACATTGAATTAAAAACAATACAGGGATTCGGCTACATGATAATAATGTTTTTAAAAGTTTTAAATGTATTTTAATCTAATGTTTTATCTTTTGTATAATGTTGTATGTAATGTGTTGTATGTTGTCGGCATCGAAATGCTTCCATTGTAAACTGCCCTGAGTCCTCCTTTGGGGGTTGAGAAGGATGGGGTAGAAATATTGGAAATAAATAAATAAACAAACAAACAAAAGCAAAAAGAGAAACAACCTTAATACAACAACACTTAACACACAGTCAATGAGTGTATTCCCAATCAATCAGGCCAATTAGCTGGCTAGTCCAGCAGCACCACAGCTATAAGGTAGTCCACCAGGGGACTGCCTTATAGCCAACTAAATGGTCCTTCAGCTGGCTCTCTCACCACTGGCTGGTGTAATGGTCCCAGAGTGATCAGTATCCATCCAGTGAGATGACAAATACAACATATAACACATTAAAATAGAAGTCTTCCCGGTCCTTGTGAACTCAGCTCTACAGTTGCTCCCTTCTTGGAGGCTGCTGAGTCACACCCAGCTGGAATGGCCCTGGAGCTGCCATCTACTCACAAGAATTACACAAAGCTGGATGGAGATGTTTCAGGCCTCTTGTAGAACAGCAGAAGCAGCCTCAAAAGCCATGTTTTGTGGACTCAGCTCTACAGTTGCTCCCCCCTTGGAGGTAGCTGAGTCTCACCCAGCTGGAATGGGCCTGGGGCTGCCTACTCACAAGTTGTCCAGAAAACAGCAAAACTGGATAGAAATGTTTCAAGCCTCAGCAGCAGACGCAAGTCTTGCCAGAAATAGAAATAAGGCAGTAAAAATATAAACTATGAAACAGATTTGCACTTGTTTAAAAGTTTACAGACTCACTAAAATGAAATGGAAAATGCAACATGCTAGGCAAGGAAGAAAGTCAGACACTTCTTTGCAGAATCTATCTAGTGCTTTTTTCAATTTTCATTGGTGTGCAACATAAATAAAAAAAGACCCACACCTTGTAGATTTGATTAAGTTGCCTTGCCAATGTTGCAAATGATTACTAAATTGTCATTACTAACCCATCACTCAGACTAAACCTTAAGAAATCTACCTCAGTGCCTTATCCCTTGTCTTTAGCCTGTCCAAAATCATTTAATGTCAATATTAATGAATTTGTCACCTTGAAAAAAGGCAAGTGTTTTAAATACAAGGGACAAAGCTTTGGTCACTCAACAAGCCATCAAAGACTATTCATTACCAGCAAAAAAGACACTTTAAAGATAACACTTTCCACAGCTGCTTGCTAAAGGATCAAAGGAACATATTTGAAAGCCTTGGCTGAATTCTTAGGGTGGATATCAAATAGTTTAAAAATTCCTCACTGGGTTTTTTATGTCTGTACAATACAAACAGAATAAAGAAAGTCACTTGCCTTTCCCTTTTCTTTAGCAAGTAATTAGACCAATGATTTATTTTCTGACTGCACACATCTTTGTGACCCTTTGGTTGGCCTACTAAAGGTATTATGGAGTTTGGACTGTTATTACAGCCATGTCTTCTCCCTCTGCTTTTCACAGGTAACATTTTATGCCAACTATTATATTTTACACCAAGCACCATCACAATTCCTGAAGCCAATGTGTTTTTTTTTTACTTATGGCATTTCTGCTTAGATGAATCATAACTTGGTCAGCTGGGTTTCTATGCGGGAGAATGTAGATTTAAACAAGTTTGGGGAAGTTTTTCCCTGTTGGGATCCATATCACCTCAATAGAAACCTGACATAGTCTGAATTTCAGTGGTGAGCAAGGCTGGGAGCAAAAGTAGATAGAACTACGGATTGGATTTGCTTTTTTTCTTCAGAAGGCATTAGCAGAGGTGGGAGGAGATATCCACACCTAATCAATTTGTTTCCCAACTTACACAAGATCCCACTCATCAGCTTTGTAAAGACCAAGCAGGTTGAATTATGATTATTATATTTATTTATACTCTGCTTTATCTCTCCCAAAGGAGATTCAGAGCAGTTGAAGTAAATAGTAATTCAAAAGAGGGCCATTGCAGGGTAGTAGCCTTCAAAAACTGAGACTGTTGAAAATCCAGAGGTCTAGATTAAGTGCACTGGGAATCTACCTTTAGAACAGAATTTTACTGCTCTTTTAAAGAGATCCATAGCATTATCATGCATTGTTTCATCTAAACATTTTCAAAGAGTTAATAAGTCACATACATATGTATACACACATGTGCAAACACACACACATATAAGCATACACAAACATACAAAGAGCATTGTGGCTACATTAATACTCTAATTTGTGAAAGCTTATGTCATAATAAACCATATTTATTCATTTTTAAAGTGCCACAAGCTTTTTCTAGGGAATGTGTGAGAAAGTGAAACTGGTCAGATTCATCAAACGCTAGCATTTTGAATGCATGTTACTGAACCATTGCATACTCAAACCAAACGAGGGGGTGCTGTGTTGTATGTATTTTATTTTATAGATTTGTTTAATGGTTTCATTGTCTCAACATTATTTGGAAAATGAAACTTAAAATGGGGAACATATGAGTGACAAATGCTGAAAGATATATATAAAGAGAGAGAGAGAGTGTGCTATGGAAAGCTATTAAATGACTTTGGACAAGTCACACATTCTTGCAACCTCAGAGGAAGGCAAAGCCAAAGCCCCTCTGAACAAATTCTGCCACAAAAATCTTATGATAGGGTCACCTTAGGGTCACCATGTCAGAAATGTCTTGAGGCAGAGAACAACAACTGATTGAAGAATCTTATCTCCCAAAAGCATCTTTCTTTTTCTTTGGAGTTTCCAAAATTCAAAGTATAAGCATTTGAATCAGTGAAATAGTGGCATGACAGCCAAAAAATTGGTATATGGTCAGTCATAATTTTGTGATTGCTGAAGGTTGCATTATATATTTTTAATTTTAAAATTATCAATGTATTATTCCCAACAGGCATGGAAATGGTTATTAGGTCCTGTAATATTGTACATTTGTGAAAGGATGATCAGGCTCTGGAGATTTCAGCAAGAGGTTGTCGTTACAAAGGTGTGTGTATATACTTCATTATTTTGATTAATATCAAAATGTATTGTTACTTTCCTTCACTTATTATGTTTATGAACACCATGTTTATGAACTCATTTTAATTACCATATTCATGAGATCTCATAACACTAGATTTTTTAAAAAATTATCCTGCGGCAGCAAGTCTTAAATTGATCTATGAGGTAGGCAATATAACCCTGGGAAAGAGGACATTGAGGTCTATAAAGTTGGTTATACATTCTAGAGAAAACTGTACTAGGTACTTACACAATTGACAAATGTGTCACTTGATCCTGATCTGTTGGTTTGCCTGATTAGCTGGTGTTAAATTGTAGTCTCCAACAGGAACACAGATGATTCCGGAGTACCTATAACTCTTCCCCATCTGTATTATTACTGATACTTTTCTGTTATCTGGGTGATAGACAAAGAAGGGTAGTCCATTGGGGGGGGGGGGGGTAAGGGGGTTGAAGGAGTTAAACCATTTCCCCCTATTTTCCTGTTGTTCTTCCTACCCATGTCCCTGTCATGGAAACAATCTTTGTTTATGACATGGGAAGTGGGAGGAAGAATAACAGCAAAAATGGAGGGAATTGTTTTCCTCCTTCAACCCCTCCCCCTGCCCCCAAAATGGACTAGCCTTCTCTGTCTAGGCCCCCTTTTGGAGTCCACCCAGATAATGGAAGAAGACCTTATTGCCTAAAGAAGGAGCTATGAGTGCTTATTTTAAATCCAAATTGATTGTTTTGTTATTATGGTGGTAGTGCTTGATGTCCATGTCAATGGGGCAGAGAACCCATCATGGAGAGGTCTTTCAAAATCTTCCTAAATCTTGGAGTGGATATTTTTCTGGTGTGGAAGCTACACCTGTGTTCGTCTAATCATATCTGACAAACTTGACTTTAATGAAAAGTGTTGTTCAAATAACAGCCAAGGTAGTTTTGACCAGAAAGGCAGAATGGAAAGGAAAAATATTGGCGGGGACTGCATCACAATAGAAGAAAAGAGAAATGTTTCCTTCCTTATGTTTTATGACTATGAAGATGTTTAGAGAAGGGGTCTGACATTTCCGCTAACACCATGAAAGAACATCAGGTTGAGGTCAACTTGATAAGCTCAATGGGATGACTATCCACTCCCACAGTTTTTGCCACTTCTCCCTTATGATAATCTCTTTTCCATTTATCATAACACAAGAATCATAGCTAGTTTCAGCTAGCCCATTGCCTCACCAACAACTTCTGAGTTAAACCAAACCTTAGAAGTGTTGGCTGTCATTTGCTACATTATGCAACTTTACATATACTTATCTATATAGCAGAAGCATTAAGAAACCCTGTTAGTGAATTGCAAAGATGGATATTGGGACAGTGGCAAGAGTATCCTGATACACATTGGTATGCAGTAGTCACTTTACTGGTTTCCCTGTGTACATAGTAATAAAGCAGCAGCTGTTTACTAGATAGAAACTTTATGGAATTGCCCAATTCTAGTTCCTACAGATATAAATCTATTTACAGAGAGAAAAGTCTTTAACTGGACTCCTTTGGTCTCTAACTAGATGTGGCAGAAGTGTCTTTTCATGGAGTATATGTCATCTTTAACTTATGTTATCTTATGTTTAACATATTTTAAACTGTCTTAAATATTTTAATATGAGTGCCTGTGTAATAGCTTTTAACATTTGTTCTGTAAACTGTTTTAATTGTGTTTTGTTTGATTTCTCTACACTGCAAGTCATTTTGACCCCCAAATTGGAAATCATAGGAGTTGTAATTTTACAAGGTCATTAGCCTTCCCTGCCAAATAGTGCCCTGCCAAACTACAACTTCTAGGATTCCCTAGCATTGAGACATGAAAGTTAAAAAGTAATGTCAAACTGTATGAATTCTCCAGTGTATATATACCCAAAGTCAAAGTTAAGTAAGGGGCCTTTTGCTGGATAGTCACCTATTTTTACATGGCCAGTTAGTGAACATAAGTGTTGTGTGTAATTTGTTGCTTAGGTGGTGTCTCATTCCTCTGGAGTTCTGGAGCTTCATATGAAAAAGCGTGGCTTTCAAATGGAGGCCGGTCAGTATATCTTTCTCCAGTGCCCTGCTATTTCACAGCTGGAGTGGCATCCTTTCACCCTCACATCAGCCCCTGAAGATGATTTTTTCAGTGTACATATAAGGTCAGTTGGGGATTGGACTAAGGCCCTTTGCAATGCCTTTGGAGCAGAGGAAAAAACCTTCAAGGAGCCCTGGAAGCTGCCAAGGTTTGAAAATTAATTGCAGAGCTGCAGAGGTGTCATTTTGGTTTTGATTAACTCGAGATTTGTGGAGCTTTTTTGCATAGCAAAAACACAGTATAAATTATAATTATAGATGTGATAAAATACACAGCTTTAAGTGGCAGAAGGAAAAACAAATCTTATTTTAATGTTTTCTTTCAGGAAAGCTAGTTAAATTATGCAACTAAAAAAAAGGTTTTACATATACTTCGACATGGACATGATCCAGCCGAAATCAAACACTTTAATGTTTTCAAAGTAAAAGTGAAGCATTGTTTAAAACTGTAGCTTAAAGGTCCCTGCAGTGCTTATCCATGCCATTTTATGAAAACGATAAAGAAGATACAAAACACCGTTCTGTCATAATTGAGTGTATTATCATTTGAACCACAAAATTCAAGCTGAAAATATGTCCCATTGAATTCAGTAACATTTACTTCTGTTAACCTGTGTTTTCCCTGATGCTTCAGTTGGGCAGGGGAGCATTTGAAAATCAGAAATGTTTATTTCTTCTGTGGTGGCTGTAAATATAGCCCGATTAAAAGACAGAAATGAAGATGATTTCAAGTCTGAAAACATCTCCTTTTGCCTATTCTGTTGTTCCATGACAAATTCTCCTTTGCTCATTAGCATCCTTCTTTTTCTTGTTCTGCTATGAACCCACTTCTTTCTTTGTAAATGTTATAACATAATGCTTAAGAGAATACCTGACATAAGGCAACCTTTATGGAGGAGGGGAAGAGGGTTTACAGGATATTGACACTGAGTTTTAAGGAAATTCATCATCCTGTTTTTTCATGGCTGCTTGGAGTTTGAAAAGTTAGCAAAAGAGGGTTAGTGAGATCAGGTTATCATTAATGAACCATAACATCTAATTTGTTACATTAGCAGGAAGAACATTTAAGTTTGTGTTGAAATGCCATTTTAACTAAGTACCTGCCCTAAAAGCTTTACCTGAATGAAACTGGGGAATGGCATGCATCTCTATGACTGATTTACTACTTTATTATGCATTCTCCAATGCATCCCAGCAAAGCTTCTAGAGCTGAGCTTTAAAATGAGTTCCCCAGGAGAGGTGAAGAGCTTCTATAAGGCATGCATAATTGGGCAGTTCTGCATAGACCCTATAATGCAGTCCAAAGCTGGTTCGAGGGTGGACTGTCTATAAATCGTCCACCCAACACGATACATTAGGCCAGAAACAGCATGTTAAGAAAACTCATCAGAAAGTCCAGAATAAGCCAGAAAACCCCCTGCAGCTGATCCAAGTATACCCCATGCAAGGCTCAAAACTAGAGTGACTGTGAATGCACATCAGCACATCTCAGTGGAGTGAGTAAAAAATCCCTGCATTTTCAACAGTTATCTAACCACAGATACCATGGTTCCTGGATTTGGTTCTGATCTGCTATCAATTGATACTGTGAACAACTTAGACATGACACAGCAAAAAACAATTGTTTTGATCCATGTCCAAATTGGATTGTAGTATCTGTGTAAAACAAGCCATAAAAGACTACTTGGATGCATTTTTAAAACCTTGGAATTATGTAAAGTGTAGTATTGTTGTTTGAGTATTGGATTAGGACTCTAAAAACCAGGGTTTGGAACCTGCTTAGCCATGGAAATCCCATGAGTGATCTTGGGCAAGTCACACACTCTCATCATCACAGGAAGGCAATGGCAGTCCCCATGATGTTTGCCTTAGAATCACCATAAACTGGAAATAATTTGAAGGCACACAACAACAATAATCATAAAAGTTGTGGCGTTGCTCTCTCACTTAATTCATTACTTACATAATTATAGAATTAATTTAAAGCTGAAATTACAACCAAGGGTAAAAATGAAGTTAATCCAGTTGCCTCTTTTTTGCTAGAAATGTTATAACTTAATTGACTTTAGCTAATTAGGTTATCTTTCTATAGCTTTTAGTTTTTAAGTTATAAGCGTTAAACTGATATAAACTGATAGTAGTCTATGTACGAGGGTTGAATGAAAAGTAATGCCTCTACCTTCGTAACTCCTCAACAGATGGCAGTACTGGTATGCAGCAGGTACTGGCTTGTTCAGTAGACTCTCCTCTACAGTTCCATTTTGGCAGGAAGCCTTAGCATTGAATGGTTGTGTTGTTAAAGTGTGAAGTATGGAACCTTGCACAGACGGTCGGTCAATGCGACTTAAGCAATGTGCAGTCATTGAATTCTTGACAGCAGAAGGTGTCACCCCAAAGGAGATTAATCAGAGATTACAAGCTGTTTATGGTGATTGTGTTGATATGAGTACTGTGCATCATTGGGCAAGTAAGTTTAAGGTGGGAACATCTGACTTGTGTGACAAACGAAGAGTTGGATGTCCTACGACAGCAACCACCAAATTTAACAAGCAAAAGGTTGACAGATTGATTCAGGATGATCGTCATATCACTCAGAGGGAAATTTCATGCATAATTGGCATTTCACAAGAATGTGTGGGTCACATTATTGCTTTGCTTGGTTATCGGAAGATCTGTGCACGATGGGTTGTGGAAACAGTGTCGACTTCTTCTGTGATGGCTTCAGAAAACTTGTTCATCATTGGCAGAAATGTATCCAATTGTCTGGTGATTTTGTCAAAAAGTGAATAGTGGTAGTTAAAGAGCACATTCTAAGGATTATTTCTGCATTTGATTTATTAAAATATTCCCATCCAAACCCAAGTAATGAAGGTGGAGGCATTACTTTTCATTCAACCCTCGTATCTTGTTGACCATGGGATGCTTCTAAACTGGGATATGAGTTTAAAAGTAACTATAACATTATAGTTATTTTTAAATACTGTTGAAATTAACTGAGCTTAAATGCAGGAGAAGGGACTCTAGCTCAGAAGTAGACCATATGCTTAACAGATTCAGTCCTTAGTGTGTTTTTTTAAAAATGATCTGATCACAGGAAGTTGAAAAAAAATAATTGGATGAGATCCTGAAAAACCGGATGGATAAACAGGCAGAGAATAGATTGGTAGATCTGCCAGAAGAGAAAAGCTTTCAATAACATCTTGAATTCGGACAGCTGATTTAGCTGTCAGATCTCTTCCGGCAGGATGGCCAGGTAGAATAAGGAACAGATCTATCTCCAATGGCTGTGTAGAAGAGTAAATTGGAGCAGATGTTGTTTGTGTGGCAAGGACCTTCAGCTAAAATGCTCTCTTCTATACAAACATTTATGACACAATTGTCCTGTCCCTTATGTCACTTGGCAATTCTACACTCTGCATATTCAGACTAACTTCCTGGATCGGTGTACATTTATTTTGACAACATATTTTTTTAATTCACACAGATTTTATACATTGATTAAATGCTAATGGTCCCACACCGATCCATGCATTTTTCATTCCTCCATCATGTAGCAAAAGGTTTTCAAATTCATTAAAACATTTTAAAATTAGATCAGTTCCCCTGTATACTTTGATTTGTGATAAAAAAAAAGAAGACCTTAAAATTCAGGATTCTTTTTAGTAAATCATAATTAACTATGCAAATGCTCTCACTAAATTTGGCCATGAAATTAAGTGACTAATCAGATTTCCAAAATCCTTAAAATTGCAATTGCATACTTAAATGGCCAGATCGCTCATTCATGAGGCCTTCGTGTGCTCATGTGCTAAGATAAAAGTCTTAATATCAAACTCGCTGAAAAATATGCCCTCCCCCATTTTCTGTAACAAAGGCAATGGAGTCCACATGTGAGAAAGTGAATATGTCTCATCCTTTTCATTTTATTTATTTAAAACATTGATTTTCTACCAATTTTCCACTTATCCTCAGCCTGTGTCACAAAGTGGAATTGCACAAATGCAACAAAAATCCAGTTCACATTCACATAAACATGAATGCACTGCTTTTTATAAACTAATAATACTTCTTTAAATCTCATTGTAGACTAGCTGTGGATGGCCCCTTTGGAGCTGTAGCAACAGATGTGTTTCAGTACCAAATCAGTGTGTGCATTGCAACAGGAATAGGAGTCACTCCTTTTGCTTCAATTCTGAAATCAATTTGGTACAAGTGCTGTAAACAACATACAGAACTGAAACTGGAAAAGGTAGGTCATATTTTGCTTACAAATTTAATTTCTGTAGATGTTTTTGTATACTTTTTTACAGGGGTATTTTTTTTAGTTTAGTCCTTTAAAAAATCTTAATGTGCTTAGCTTTATAGCAGTCACTTGACTTCCAGCTGAGGTTCTATTAATCTGTGCCACCCTGCACCTTCTAAAAGACACATCGCTGAGCCTGGAACCCCAGGTCTCGGTGGTGGCCAGGAGAGCTTTTGCACAATTAAAACTTGTGCGCCAGCTGCGCCCGCACCTTGGGAAGTCAGATCTGGCCATGGTGGTCCACGCTCTTGTTACATCCCGAATAGATTACTGCAACGCGCTCTACATGGGGTTGCCTTTGAAGACTGTTCAGAAACTTCAACTAGTGCAACAGGCGGTGGCTAGATTACTCACCGGAGCATCATACAGGGAGCATACCACCCCCCTGTTATGTCAGCTCCACTGGCTGCCGATCCAGTTCCGAGCACAATTCAAAGTGCTGGTTTTGACCTACAAACCCTATACGGCTCCAGCCCAGCGTACCTGTCCGAACGTATCTCTTTCTACATCCCACCTCGGAGTTTAAGATCTTCTGGAGAGGCCCTGCTCTCGGCCCCACCTTTATCACAAGTGAGACTGGTGGGGAGGAGGGACAGGGCCTTCTCAGTGGTGGCCCCTCGCTTGTGGAACGCACTCCTCGGGGAAATTAGGTCATCAACATCCCTCCTCTCTTTCAGAAGGAAGTTAAAAACCTGGATATGGGACCAGGCCTCTGAGTAAGCTGGCGGATGGATAAAAGACAATGACGACCAGAGTAGGAAAGGACAATGACAATGCTGGACGGATTATGGATTTATGAATTGACGAACGTTGACCACAAGATGATTTTATTGCTGCTATTGTATTAATTTGATTGTTTTAATTAGTTATAACTGTTGTCATTATATTGTATTTGGTATATTGTATTTTGTGAACTGTTGGGCATCGAATTGTGCCTTTTGTAAGCCGCCCTGAGTCCCCCCTAGGGGGTTGAGAAGGGTGGGGTAGAAGCACTCCAAATAAATAAATAATAAATAAGCACAGCTGTCCAGGCAAACTCTACATCTAGATGGTTATTTTTAACATTACTAACATAATGTTGGCTCTTTGGTCTCTAATATGGCTGAAAACTAAGTACACACTACAGCTAAGTTAATATTTACTCCCTGTAGAACTCTGGAGGGTGATGGTGATCAATCCATGTTGCTCTCCTAGTGGCTGTTTTGACAGGGATAGAAATAAAAATCATTGTAAAAAGGCAGTTGCTGCATAGGCTGAAAACAAAAACTGCTGAACAAGCAGGTATGTTATCATATGTCATCAAGAGAATTCAGACCATTATAAGTTTCCAGCTACTTATGTTATGGACCACAGTGGACTGGCAACAGATCATTGGAGTGTGTTGTCGAAGGCCTTCTACAGCCAGAATCACGAGGGTTTATGTGGTTTCTGGGCTGTATGATCATGTTCTAGCAGCATTTTCTCCTGAGGTTTTGCTTGCATCAGTGGCTGGCATCTTCAAAGGATCTAATGGTAGTTTTTGTTTGAGAAACTGCAAGTCACTTCTGTTGTGAGAGAACAGAACATCTGCAAGGACGTTGCCCAGGGGATGCCTGGATGTTTGACCATCCTTGTGGGAGGCTTCTCTCATGTCCCTGCATGGGAAACTAGAGCTTGACAAATGGGAGCTTACCCCGTTCCTGGGATTCGAATGGCCAATCTTTTGGTTGACCAGTTCAGCCGGCACAAGTGTTTAACCCATTGAGCCACCGGGGGTTCCTATCTAACGGTAGTAAAGTATGTGCAGTATATAGACCTGTGGAATGTCCAGGATGGGAGAAAAGAACCAATATCTGTTGAACAAGTGTAAAGGGCACAATTAGCGAGCTAGATTTGTATCATTGGAATGCTATGCATTGGGTAAGCATGATGCAAAAGTGCTGGTGTAAGCTCTTCCTCTAGCTTTCAGAAACCTGAATTTAATTTTTAAAGAAAATGAATCAATCATGAAATGCTGAACAGCAACACTTCTTTGAAAAAGCTAAACCAGAAACTGAAATATGTCTTCAGTTCTAAGTGTTTGCATTTGAATGTTAAGTCCATCAAAATCAATAGAACTTATTCAGGCTATTCTATGTTTAGAACTGGAATGCTAATGTGGAATACATTTTAATTTCTTTTTTACAAATCTAAACACTCCTGACGTAAAATGCATTTTGTCTCAATCCCTAGCAATGAGACATTAACATTAATCCTAATTATTAGTCCTAACAACAGTAGACCTAGGAGCCAGCACAGTGTAATAGCTTGAGCTGTGGACTACAACTCTTGAGATCAGGGTTCATATCCCTGTTGAGCTATGGAAACCCATGGCAAGTCAAACTCTCTCACCCTCAGAGGAAGACAAATCCAGTGATAGACTATCTTTGGGGTCAACATAAGTTGGGAATGACTTGAAAACATACAACAGCAACAGACCCATTAAAATTGATTTGATTTACCTGTGTTTGAACTCACTGATTAGCAGATAATTCAGTGATCCTCCTCTGACTGGAGTGAATCAATAAATTTCAGTCCACTCTTATTTCTTCCTTTCTTTTCTTTTTTAAATTTTTTATGGTTTTATCATAGTTATTACATTTGTTATACATTTGTTTATAGCAGTTACATATAGCAGTTACATATAGCAGTTACATATTATTCAACACACTCTTTAACATATAATCTTATTGTTCTGCTTAAGCATTTTTTTCTTTTTCTTTTTTTCCCACCACTTTGCTCCCCTCCCCCCACAACTTTTACATATCGTCTGTCCAAAATCTCAATTTTTCTTGTGGTGGTAACTTTCCTTCTTTATTTTTTAAACCATTTACAACAAATTTTCCCCATACATCATCAAAATCACTTTGTTTCCATATACCCTTTTTAACTTTTAATATACATGCCAGCTTATTATTTATTGCCAGTTTCCATGCTTCCTTGTACCACTCCTCTATTTGTATATTTATTTCTTTTTTCCAGTTCCTTGCTATAAGCAATCTTGCTATTGTTAATAAATTTGTTATCGCTTCTTTATCCTCCTTTTTCAATTGTTTGTTGTTATATAATGATAATAAAGCTGTACTAGGACTTTTCTCAATTTTCATATTCATTATATCTTCTATTTCTCTAAATACTTTCCCCCCAAAATTATTTACATATTTACATTGCCACCACATATGTATATATGTTTCTTCTTTTCTAGAGACTCGTGTAATCACATTCCGTAACATGTTCAATGACAAGCACCTCTGTAAATTAGGGGGAAAACTTCATTTTCAGAAAAACACATTACTTTACTATTTGTGCTTGTAAAAATTGTTTTACACAGGGAAAACATTACCTTGAGAGAAGATGTCTTGTCATAAGTGTGAGGAGTGTCATTAGCAGGACAATGCTATATTGAGGTGTGCATTAGATTTGATGGTGTATTAGAATCAAGTAAATTTGGGTATATATCAGGGGTGGTGTAAAAATGTCTCAGGCAGAAAGAGATCAGAAGTAGGAAAAATTTAAGAAGCCCTGGTCTAAGCCATTCGAGTATCCATATTACTGGAATCTATTTAACATTAAAGATCATCTCCATCTTATAATAGTTGCAAAGTGACAGCCATAGTGTTGTTTAAAAAAACCCGTCAAAACTGCATAAGAATGAGAGCTGAAGTATGTTTCAAAAGAAGGAAACTTTGCACTGTCAATGCTGGATAGAAAATCAAGTATAAATTTACACCTGAGTACCACAGCCCGCCATAAGATTAGCCACTTATCTCCAAATAAATAATTTAAGAGCCATACAGGACGCTTGATGAAAGCTTGCACTTTGTTGAATTGTTTTACTTTCCCTTGACAGGTTTATTTCTATTGGATTTGCCGAGATTCGTCTGCCTTTGAGTGGTTTGCTGATCTCCTGCGTTTGCTGGAAGCACAAATGACTAAGAAAGGGAAAGCCCATTTTCTAAGCTATCACATATTTCTTACCGGCTGGGATGAAAGTCAGGTATAAATGAAATCTTATGGGACTGAGTTACTGAATTTTACTTTTCCAGGACTGCAGCCTGAGGAACAGTAATCAAATGACTACTTAATCGCATAAAACATAGCTTCCTTAAAGCAAATAGTAGTTACATTTGTCTTTTGAAAGTATTCGTTCCAAGCATAGTGCCTCCAGGTCCCAGGTAAAACATTTCATGCCAAGGTCCTTTATAGCTGTAGGAACACCACGATCTGTAACGGCTCCCAAACCTATTTCTCTCTTGCTTATTTCTTGCATTCACATCTTGCTCCTTCCAACCCTTTTCTAGTATTATGTGGGTCAGCAAAACTGGCCTTAGCATTAGCTGGGTGGGGTCAGCTATGTCACTTTATCAGACAGCAGATGCTGAGGCATACAAACTGGCAGTGAGTTGTGAGAGAACGTATGGTTTTAATTTTTATAATATAATAATAATGTGAACATTATATAAAATATTATAATACGGTATCCCATTCACCCTCCCTTCTCTCCCTAGGTCACCAATGTTTACAACTACTTCCCTGCCATTCCTCTTGCTAATAAATTATCCCCTACTAGTCTACTCTATTTTCTAATTTTCTTAATAGTAGACATATCTTCCCCATGTCATTTAACCAAAATCTCACTTGATCTGAGGGTGATTTACATTTGCTATTACTCTAACACAGAGATTTCCAAATTGTGTGTCATGAGACATTACTGTCTCAACTGCAGTGTGTAGTTGTGTCATGTGGATGTATTAAGAAATGACAAAAATTGTGGAAATGTTGTGTACCCATACATTTCATTATCAAAATTTGTTTATGTGTCCATATCTCTTATAACAGGTTGATTTAACCTCTGGTTTGCGCCATGCAAACCATATAGTCATGCTGGCCACATGACCTTGGAGGTGTCTAAAGACAACGCTGGCTCTTTGGCTCAGAAATGGAGATGAGCACCACACCCCAGAGTCGGATACAACTAGGCTTAATGTCAGGGGAAACCTTTACCTTTTACCTTGCTAGTAAAACTGAATTACTGTTTCCACAAAATGATGTGTGTCTAAAAAGTATGTCACCAACATGAAATGTTTAGAAAGTTCTGCTCTAAAACATATAGCTAATAAATGGTTTCCATATCACCCTGAATAAACACTTTTATTTTTCCTCTTACTAGTGTTACTTTGTATGTTAATTTTTCAGATATAGTTATGGCCCACATTATGTTTATCTAATTTTGTATTGATACATTTTCTAGTTTTTTCCATACTTTGACGATCTCCATGGTTGTGCATGCTGTGTGTCTAACCTGCTAGTCATAGATGCACAGGGATATGGGGCATCATTGCCTGTGTTAAAATAAGACTGAGATCTCATCTACACTGCCATATAATGCAGTTCATAATGCAGTTTAACTGCATTGAACTGTATTATATGAGTCTCTACTACCTCAAAGTTAAAGTGCATTATGAAACTGCCTTATATGGCAGTGTAATGTGGCCTTAGCCACTAATCCAGTTGGTTTCCCTTTCTGGAGATGAACCACTATTTCATCCTATGCAGCAAATCTTCTGGGCTACTTCTGGTACCACCTTCTCTTTGTGGTAATATATATTTCTGCATATATGTACTAGCTATTTTATTGAACAGACTTTGCATAGAGAGTCAACCCAATATTGCTAGGAAACCAGGAGATATTGGGACCTAAACATTTAGCTGGGTATCCTCCAATTGTACGTTTCCACCAGAGTCCAATGTGTTGATTGCTACAAACCGAGGGAGAAAAGATTTTTTTAAGTAATGTAAGGTTGAAGCACAGCAGGGGGGGGGGGGATTTGCCTCAGGGAGACAGGAAGAGAGTTAAGAAAGGAGGAGATAATGCAGAGGAAGAGAGCCAAGGAAAGAAGAGCTTAGTGTAGGAATGCACTGGGCATTGTATTTCATCAACTGACTCTGTGCCCAGTCACAGCCCACATCTATAATGCCGTTGTTGCATTTTAGTGGCCATTGTTCCATATCACCAGATCCTGGGTTTTTAAATTTAGAAGTATGAGAGCATTCTGTCTATTCATTCCAAATGGCCAGTGCCTAAATTGCAAGTGTGAGAGCCAGTGAGGTGTGTAGTAGTCTCACATTTCTCAAATGATTCTTTGCACAAAGCCTAGTTCTGGCAATTTTTTCAAAAGCCACTGTTTGCATGCTGTGAATCTTTGAGAGCTGAAGAATGACAGCCTTTGGGTCAGAAGATCCAAACAATTTTGTTTAATTCATGATTGGATGTGATAATGTAGTTAGGGCACCTTGTATAGGGTGTGTGTGATATATATATATATATAGTTAAAACCTGATAGTAAAAAAGTTAAAACACAACTCCTGGGATATATGTGGAAATATATATAGAAAAGGTTAAAATTTAATAGTAAAACAGTTAAAACACAACTCCTGGGATCTATGTGGAAATCAATAAGCTAAACAAGGGGCCAATGTAAGGAGAGCAGGAAAGCAAAAGAAGATTATATTTATTTATTTATTTATTTATTTATTTATTTGCAACATTTAGATGCCATTCTTCTCACCCTGAAGGGGACTCAGAGCGGCTTACTATATATACACAATATATTATATTATCAGCATAGCACAATATCAGTATTATATATTACTATATTGTACTGTAATATTATACTGTAATATTATTAGTAATATTACATTTATTTTTATTTAATTTACCGTTTTTGTATACCACTTTTCTCAGCCAGAGGCGACTCAAGGTGGTTCAGTCATAACAATTATAAAGATACAATTAAAACAACTATAAAAACAATTTAAACATTTAAAATGTGATATAAAAACAATACAGCATGTAAAAACAAAATCCTCGGCGTCTCCTTACATGTAATATAAAATATATAATTATATTATACCTTCTCCTTTTTGACTGTAATGAGGCATTACAACTTGTTGATGTTAATATATTTGCCTTTTGGTTCACTGAAATATAGGCCACCCATATTGCCTTGCATTCTGATGAAAAGGTGGATGTAATTACTGGCCTGAGACAAAAGACCTATTATGGAAGACCAAACTGGGACAAGGAATTCAAACAGATAGCAGAAAATCATCCTAGGTAAGGCAAATAAGGAAATAATATCCCTATGCTGTAGTATAAGGCAAGTAAAGGGGATGGTACCACTCTTACGGTGACCCTTTTAAAATAATGTAAGTTGCTTTCTTATGCTGAAAGCATCTTTATGTGAACTAAAGCTTTGAATGAAGAAATCTTGCATAGCCGATGCCAATCAAATCTAATTTTTGGACAAGAAAATCTAATATTTAGAAGCATTTCAATATCTTGGCATTTGTCCAGCTATAATTGAAAGACACAATCCAATTATTGTTCAGCACAAAGGACAAAGTAACATTAATTTCCCTTGAAAATGGTTATTAAAGAGATAAACAGTCAGGCCTTTTTCTTATGATGTCAAGGATGTGTTTGTTCTCCTCCAACATAATTGGTTGTGGATGTAAAGACAATGCTCTTATGTTATTACTTCATCTCAGCTTGAAAGTCTAAACTGAACTTCAAAAGTTTGGGTTAGAAAAGGCTTTGAAAAGCTTCTTTGTTCCCTCAAACCTCTGAAGGAATCGTTGCAGTTTATATTTGTCTTCGTCAGTCATAAGAATAAGGACAAACTTTATGATTTCTTAGTAGTGCCTAATATTTATCTACCTCACTCCCACGTATAAATGCAAGTGGGAAAGAAAAGAATTTAATGCTTTAATCCTGTGATTCCTCACTGGAGATAAGACCATACAAGTCAGTGGCTGCATGCATCTGAGTAGAAATAAAAAATATACCATTGCCATCATTTTTGAATACAAAATATGATACAATCCCAAGTCTGTTTATTTGGAAGTAAGTCACATTGGAAGAAAGTAGGACATGCTTCCTTTGAAGCGTGTATAGGTTTGCACCTAAAGGGAGTTTATGTACCAGGTTATAAAAGCAGACTATCCATGTTAACTTGAGCCAGAGAGGAGGAGGAAGAGACATAAATATCCTAATGGAATGAGATCCTATCTGACCTTTTAGATGTTAAGCAGGATCAGCCAACTTGAATTGGAAACACCAATGAATATCAAGTGTTGTGGGCTAAATACTTTAGAGGAAGGAACTAGGAAAACTACCTGTATTCCTTCCCTGAGGAAATCCTATTATTATTATTTGAAACACAACAAGATGAGTCCACAGCAGACACTCTGCTGGTTGTTGTATTGGATCACATGTCGGACATTTCCCAAGCGTCTAGGACTATGTGATGTATCGGCAAATAATGCGTGCAGATCCCAGTAAGGTGGCCTTCTGCAGCTGGCAGATGGTAATTCTGTCAGTGCCTATTGTGTTTAAGTGCAGGCCAAAGTCTTTAGGCACTGCACCCAGTGTGCCAATCACCACTGGGACCACCTTGGCTGGCATGTGCCAAAGTCTTTGCAGTTCAGTCTTTAAATCCTTATATCATGTCAGCTTTTCCAGATGATGATTATGATGATGTTGTTGACGATGATGATGATGATTATTATTATTTGAAACACAACAAGATGAGTCCACAGCAGACACTCAGCTAGCTGTTGAATTGGATCACACATTGGACATTTCCAAGTGTCTAGGACTGTGTGATGTATTGGCAAATGATGTGTGCAGATCCCAGTAAGGTGGCCTTCTGCAGCTGGCAGATGGTAATTTTGTCAGCGCCGATTGTGTTTAAGTGCAGGCCAATGCTGCCTTTCAAGGCAATGACCTCCTAAAACAAATCCCATAAATACCCAAGGCAGAAACAGAAAACTTCATTGTTGTTGTTGTTGTTGTTTTGTGTGTGTGTGTGTGTGTGTCAGGAGTGATGAAAAATTCTGGCCTTCATGGCCACCTACAAGCCGGGCTACAGAGCCAAGCTTAAGCCACACAAAGTAGTCACCATCCTTATACTTGTTCTGCCCACTGAGGAAAATATAGAATCATAGAGTTGAAAGAGACTCCAAAGGCCATCCAGTTCAACCCCCTGCCATGCAGGAACATATGATCAAAGCACTCCCATTTGGTGGCCATCCAGCTTCCACTCAACATGTCCGGAGATGGGGTCTCCACCACATTCTAAGGTAGCCTATTCCACTGCAGAATAGTTCTTACCATCAGGACGTTTCTTTAAATCAGAAGCTGGTTGCTGACACTTTGTTCTCCACTGCTTCTGTCATACACCGGCTGTTTCCTCTTACCTCCTGAGGTCTGTGGTTCCTAGTGTAATCCAATCTTTGCCCATGTTGCAAGATTTAGCTTCTTTGACTTATACATTATGACACAATGTGCAAACTCATCCCTAATGACATACCACAGAGTTGCTAGCTTTTTGAGAAATTTATGAACATGGGATTGGGGGTATTGTTTTTTTAAGGAGAAGCTTTTAAACTTAATTTTTCTGTTTTGATTTTCTTGGCAGTGATAGCATTGGTGTTTTCTTTTGTGGACCTAAAATTATTTCTAGAAGGCTTCAAAAGGTGTGCAACTGCTATTCATCTGCTGATCCAAGAGGTGTTCAATTTTACTACAACAAAGAAAATTTCTAGGTCTTCATCTTCATTTAGAAATGGCAATTGACTTTTGAATGCCTGGAGTGTTTTTTTCTTCCTTGTTTCCCATGCCTCTGGAGAAATTATAATATTTTAAAGAATAATATTTGGCATTAACTTATCATAATTTGCTAGTATATTGCTATCTGACATAGTTTAGCAAAAAAAGAAACTTCTCACCTATTTCAATCATCTAATGAACCTTGTTGGTTAAATTAAACATATATTCAGTGTGAATTTAGAAGACGTGTTGGCTTGAATATTGGAAGGTGTCTATCCTCATAGCTCATGACCGACCTCTACAGCATTTCATTTGCTTTGTTTCCTGGCTGGCCATAGGAAGATAAACACAGGTTTAATTTGCAAATCCTATTGCTGAGATATGTGATCTCTGACTAAACCATGTTGTTAAGAAACAAAACATGTTAATCACAGGACATACACAGTCCACTTGATACCTAGGGCCCTTCTAAAGAGGCCCTATATCCCAGGTTTTCTGTTTATCCTAGATTGTCAGCTCACAGTAGCTGCTCCCAAACGAAGACACAGGACAACGCTCTGGTATCACTGATAACTTTAGTACAGGAAAAATAGACACGCAAAAAGCCGAGAGTGCCTGGCGCCGGTTGGCACTCCCTTATATACCTTCCCCCACATTCAAAAATGTAACTCCCGCCAAGACATTCACCCACCAAAACTGCTAAACGTTCCCTCTCAGGGTCAACCGCCGCAGGTGTCTTATCAGAGTACTACGTCGGGGGCCCTGATTTCTGGTGCCAAAATCAAGGCCCTGAAAACTGGGTCCTGACACTAGATTATCTGGCAGTGTGAACTCATATAATCTGGTTTGAAGCAGAAAACCTGGGATCAGGTCCTGGCATATAGGGCCTGTCTGGAAGGGCCCAAAGCTTGATCCCAGTTGATATCATAGCTATATATTTAGGACTCACACCACCTCCGCAAGTACTGAGAAGTCCTGGAGTGCAGTTCTGTGAAAATTGTAGCTGGGAAAATTGGTTAGTTGCTGCTAACCAAGAACAGGAAATGTAGTAAATGGGGACCTACAGTGGAGAAAAGATCCAAAACTAAGATACAATATTGTGATACAAGGCAAATAGTTTTCCGTAATAGACTAGAACAGAAGGTTGGGAGAAAAACTTAATAAAGTTTTGGAGAGCTGTGAATGATTCAACAGTTCAGGAATTAAGGTGTGATTTTAAGGTATATTAATAAACTTATAATTTTAAAATAAAACTGTATCTGACACTTACTACAGTGAACTCAGAGAACACATTCACCTGTTCATATAGGGATCTTCATAAGGCCCATGTTCCCAATCCAGGGAGAGATCTTGGGGGGGGGGGGGGGGAAGGAAAAGGTGAGTGACAGAGGTTGGAACTGCAGGGCCAGCCTGGAGTGGGAGTCCACCAGAAACATTTACAGCAGGCTCTTTGTATCTTCTGGGGTTTGGTTCCAAGACTCCCTATAGATTCCAAAATCCCATTATATACAATGGCATAGTAAAATGGAATCCCTTCTATAAAATGGCAAACAACTCAAACAAGTGCCTGAGGATCTGTGAAATAGCAGAAGGTTACAGTAGGGTACACCTACACACCCATCTAGCGCTCAGTGCATAGCAAATTAAACATTTACTTTCTGGATTTCTAACTCCAAATATTTTCAAAATGGTTGGATGAATCTGTGGATGCAGAGCCTATGGATACATGATTGCACTCACATTTATTTTCCATTGTAATGTGGATGAAGACTTATAACAGAAACCATGCAATGCCTTTTCTTTAGAATGCCATCTTAAATAGAGGTGAGAAAAGACAGCTTACATACGTTTAACAGCAAATCCAATGGGCCATATTGGGTTTCTAAAGAGAGAAATACTGTAGAAGACATTTTCCAGAACTCAGAGCATTTTGTGTTTGTTTGGTTTTTTTGTCACTATCCCCTCATTCTTTTAAAGCTTGTTTTCCTGCTCACACAGATTGTGCTACAACATTCTTAGCTGAAGTGCAAAATTGGGGACAAGGAAGACAGCATACCTGTGTCAAAATGACCCCAATCTTCCATAAGTATCTTCAGGTGGATTTTGAAGTGCAGGAGGTTATCATCCATTTTCCAGAGTCCTCATGCTCCCAAACCACAATGATTCAGAAAACTGTGTTGATTCGTGATTTTAAAAAAACCTCATAATTTTAGCAGTTTCCATCTTGCACACATATAAACTTAGGTCACCTCAAAATACCTAAGTATTACAACAGAGATAGTTCACAATATATTATATGTAAACAAATATGATGATGCATCCCAATAATGCTGAGAAAACCCAGCAAAAATATATTTTGCAAGGGGAAAAAAATCAATTCTCGCTCTTACAACGCAAGAGGATTCTGAGCTCCAAGGGAACAGAGAAACCTGAAGTGAACAGCAAATATTACTGTGTGCCTTCAAGTTGTGTCTGACTTATGGCTACTTTAAGGCCAACTTATCTTGGAGTTTTCTGAGGCTGAGAATATGTCAGCATTCCAAAGTCATCCAGTGGGTTTTCATAACCAAATGGGAAATCAGACTCTGGTTTTTAAAATCATAATGCAATGCTCACTCAAACCAACACACCATGGTGTCTCTTAGATGACATTGTAGTCATTTCTGATTAAAAGATCCTTGTGCTCTTGCCTCCAGTACACCACAGTTTCCTAGTCATGGAGGTATTTACTGGTGATTTCCACAAGAAATGCTGAGGCATACTTTTGGCAGGTGTGGCCGAAGGAGTGAGAAAAATCCCCACTCCTTTGCACCAATGCTGCTACAGCTGCCATCCATCCATCCAAACATGAAGAAAGCAGTATGTATCCCACAAAGTAGTCAGTGAAGTTCTACAAAGATCCAGCCAGGACCCAGATGTTTAAGAACATTCAAGAATATTTGAATCACAGATGAAAAATAGGTCTCTGGTTGTTGAGAAAACCTGATGAGGATAATCCTCAATGGACAAGTGATTTTATTTGTAGAAAAAAAATGATATAACTGTACAAAAGAAAATAATGACCCCCCCCCAATACAATTTTCTGCACAAAATCCCATTTTTTCAGTATAATAAATCCTGAAATGTAAATGGTCCTGGAAAAAGGGTATAGTTTTCAGGGATGTTCTTGTAATAGGGGGAAATGGTGGCCAAAATCCTCTATGTACCACATTGCTAAGTTACCACAGTAGCTATGCCTGACTTTCCATCCCATCCCCACTTTCTGGTCAGCTACTGCTGTGATAAATGTGGGTCTATTACATGTTGCTCAGGAAGAGGCTGAATAGTGACCCTTCCCCACAGCACAAGCAATTTCCCTTGCAATAGGGGGAGTCTCTGTTGCAATCTTCCCTCACAGTGCAGATAACTCACACAAAGAGGAATGAGAATTTCCCCTTTCTTTGCAAATGCTATTTTTCTTCAGTGTGTTTATTGGCAAATTATGTATATGTTGTTTAGAGAACAGAACACTAAAGATTTTTTGTTAAAAAGGAAATTAATTTATTTATTTCCTGCTTTTATGATTGAGATGGCTCACAACATTCTAAAAAAATGAAATATTCAAAATGATGGGGAAAATGAAAATAAAAATAATTTAAGGAAATTCTATATACCATAAAAACTGGCATACTAGACGACTTTCTAAGCCAAGAAAGTCATCTTAAAAGTGGGGGGGGTCGTCTTGTGTGCCGGCTATAAGTTCCACCACTTGAGGATGCCGAGAGCGAGGGACGCGAGCAGCCATGAGAGGCCAAAGGGAGCCTGCTGGTATCGCAGCTCAGCTGGCCAGCACTCCCGGCAGACCTGCCGATCCTCCTCCTCCCCCCTCGCCATCCCCAAGCAGCGCAGCCGTTGCCGCTCCTCCTCCTCCCCGTCCTCCTCCTGAAGGAAAAAGGGGCAGAAGAGGCTGCCCCAAGCCTCCCATTCCCGGCCTCTTTCTCCCTCTCCTCTCCTTCCTCAAACAGTGCTACTCAAGGAGAGTCCAAACAAAGGCACCTCCGAGAAAGTCCTGCTGGAGAAACTTCTTCTTTCTCCCCTCTTTGGGGTTTCTTTCCTGTCTCTGTGCTCAGCTCCCTCTGAAAGAACAGCCGCTCTTAAGTTTTAAAAGTTTGAAATAGCCTGCAGAGGGAGGAAGAAAAAGGTCTCTTTCCCCCGTTTTGTTTTGTTTCTGCAGCCAAGAACGAGGCAGCCTTAAAGGGGAAGTCCCAGTGCAAGTCCCAGTACTCTTAAAGGGGAATCCCCCCCAAAAAAACTGCCACAGATTCAGTGCCATGGAATCACAGGAGTTGTAGTTTTACAAGGTCCTTAGCCTTCCCTGTTTAAGAGAGCCAGTACCATACCAAACTACAAGTCCCAGTTTTCTATCAGATTGTTTTGAATTTCAACTCTCACAATTCCTAACAGCTACTGGCTGGGTTGCTGTGAGTTTTCCAGACTGTATAGCCATGTTCCAGAAGTGTCCTCTCCTGATGTTTTGCCCAGATCTATGCCAGGCATCCTTGGAGGTTGTGAGGTCTGTTGGAAACATGGCAAGTGGGGTTTATATATCTGTGGAAAGTCCAGGGTGGGAGAAAGAACTCTTGTCTGCTTGAGGCAAGTGGGAATGTTGTCATTGGCTACCTTGATTAGCATTGAATGGCCTTGCAGCTTCAAAGCCTGGCTGCTTCCTGCCTGGGGGAATCCTTTGTTGGGAGGTGTTAGTTGGTCCTGATTTTTTATTGTCTGGATTTCCCCTGCTTTTGAGTGTTGTTTTTTATTTACTGTTCTGATTTTAGAGTTTTTTTAATACTGGTAGCCAGATTTTGTTCATTTTCATGGTTTCCCTTTCTGTTGAAATTGTCCACATGCTTCTTGTGGATTTCAATGGCTTCTCTGTGGAGTCTGACATGGTGGTTGTGAGAGTGGTCCAGCATTTCTGTGTTCTTAAATACTGACTGTTAGGAATTGTGTGAGTTGAAGTTCAAAACACCTGGAGGGCTACAGTTTGCCCATGCCTGATTTA